TTAAGTAAATAATTTATATTAAATATAAGGAACTAAACTAAGAGTGCTAGATATAATAATAATAAGTATCCTTATATATCTATAGTTCCTCCTTCTGGTATGGGTGGTAGGTGGTAGGATGGTATATTAGTAGATACCTATGATATTAATATACTAACTATATTATATACCCATCTACTATGTTATATAAGGGGCTGGATTTAGCCTATTAGTTGCTGTTGCATGGTATACTTAATAAGTATATAGTAGGGCATAACTAAATAGTATTTCTGCGGAATCCCTGTCTGGATTAAGTGTTTTTCCTGGATTGCTCAGTGATTATTTAGTGATTGATTAGTGAGCGATGGTTCCTGTATTCTGCCTGTCATATCCGCCCTGCACTAGTGCGGCTGTGTTGGTGTTGTAACACTAGGCTCATGGATCTAGCTTCTTTGACTTCAGAATCTTCTCTTTATAGAACATTATATAGGCTCTGCAGCTATATATATAGAGATTTACTACTAATAGCTTCTTACTGTAAAGCTTCTTATATAGTATTATCTATATCTATATCTCCTTCCCTTTATTATTTTTAATGAGCTCCTTGTGGGGCTATCTATTATAAAGATATACTACTATCTAGAATAGCTATAGCCATAGCTTTTCTAGCATTCTAGCAGTAATTTATATACTATAGGCTATTTTAATAATTATTTATCTAGCCTGTTTGAAAAAGCCCTTCTGTATATTAATATATAGTACTAAGTATAATATTTCTATTCCTTTGCCATCTATCTCATGGATATAGGTGTTTCTAAGTATCTATTTATTATTAGAGAATAGCTTTTATAGCTTAATACTAAATTATATCTAGACCCAGGTAATAAACTGCTTAATTAGCTTGTTTAATTACTTCTTATCTGGGTATATATATAAGATATAATATCTAGTTACCTTATAAACAAAGTAAGTAATCTAATAATTACTATTATAGGCTAGCATTAGCCTAATTAGATTAAAATAGATAATTTAGAATAGTTTGGTAGCCTTCTCCCTAGGCATATAAGATATCTTCTGGCTAGCTTTAGCTAATCTATATATCTTATAGATTAAACATTGATAGTTAATTACTTTGGCGCTAATCACACTTTCTTTAAGGTGTAAAATGGCCTTATCTCTGAGGTAGGTAAGCTATTAATGCTATCTCTTACTTATTACTTCTAATTAGTAGGGCCTAGCTGAATATCTCTTTATTATAAAGATTATTACAGGTGGAATTAGATTATATTTAATAACTTCTAGATTGAATCTCTCTTCTATTTAGTAAATTAGCCTTCCTTCTTAATCTTTAATTATATTAGTTTATTAATTCATATAAAACCCTTTCTTTTTGATTTAAAACATTAAGAGTATGCTTATATAGTATTCTAGTATATAAGCTACTCTGTTTAGTTCTAGAATATATATTTAACTATTCATTCTAGTTACATATACATTAATTCTGCTATATCTAAGGATCTGCACTATAGTAGTGCTGAAATAGGCCTAATAGTTATCTACTAGCTTATATAATAGAAATCTGGATTAATTATTATAGATATAGATATCTACTCCTAAATTAATAATCTAACTATCTTATAGCTTATATAATTTATAGCCTATACTTATAAATACCTTTAATATGCTCTAGAAGATGCTTATAGCTATATATAGTAGTAGTAGCTTTATATCTTCCTTTTAATTAGCTTACTTATTACCTCTCTTAATAGCTCTCTCTATCAAACCCTTTATATACAGCTATGTTTATAGTTAATTAAATATAGCCTAGATTTAGGTGTCTAGCTTCTAATTACTAGGGTGTAGTAATTTAACTAGATAGGGGTATCTATTAAAGAGGTATTTCTCTCTATAGGGATAGTTATCTTATACTTACTTAGGGTATTTATTCTAGCTATAATTTTATTAATTATTCTAGCTATTACTTCCTTAATTCTGATTAGTTAAATTAGAATTAATTCTATCCAGGGATTTACCTTTATAAGTTATAAAGATACTTATTTATTCTTTCTTACTAAGGCCTTCCTAGTATCTTTAATAATAGGAGATCTTACTAAAGACTTCTAGCTTATCTTCCTCCTTATCTTATAGATAATCTAATTAAATAGTAGTATATTAAGATTTAATCTTCTTTAATACTATAAGAAAGGTCTTAGTAGCTAAATATCTAGTATATTATATTAGATTTAGCTCTCTATATATACTTAGCACCTTCTTCTACTTACTTAGCTAGCTTAATATACTGTGATTAGCTGGTTTAGATAAGAGCTTTTAATATCTTTTATTAATCTAGTTCTTCTATATTTAAATTAATAGCTTTATATTAGCCTTAAGCTTCTGATATCTCTTAATCTTATTATCTAATTAGCTAGTAAGCTGCTAGAGGTGCTCTTAGGCTACTATTTATTCTATAGTAGTCTAGATAACTATAAGGCCTTAATAATCTAGCTAATATTACTCCTTATCTTCCTTATAAATTACTAGTTCTTTATTATAGATTACTATCTTAAGGTTAGTTAGCTTAGCTAGAGCCTTTAGAGTGGCTATAGTAGTTAGTAAGGTGTTTAATTAGTTTAATTTAGGTATCTGAATATTTAAATTAGTTAACTAAGTATTTAATAGAGCTAATCTAGCTGGTTATTTAGCTTGCTAATTAGCTAGAATTATTAGATTAACTAGCTAAATTAGTATAATAGGGTAAGGCCTCTCTCCCTGGAGTATATTAAGCACTCTATAAGTTTAGGCTAGGCTAATTATATAGGCATCCTATATCTACTAATCATTAGGCTAATTAAGCATGATAGGAACCTTCATAGTGGCCTAGGGCAATGGTTCTGTATGATATTCTATATCTAGTAGGTCAGGGGTGATGATGGTGTTTAATATAGCTTTATCTCTTCTAAATTAGGTAGTTTAATCTTGAGATATCTCTCTGGCGTGAGATAGGGCTCTTTTAAATAGGAACTGCTGATTTTAGGTGCTTAGAATAATTGAATCTGTATGTCTTAAAGGCAATCCGGGCTTATAACTATTGGAAATTGCAGAACTATTTTAGATTACTTAATTACTAGTAATTTGCCTACTAATGAGAAAGTTTGGAAGGTATAATACTTTCTAATCTATTATCTGACCAGCTAGATCTTATACCGCTGGATGCGGGCATCTAGATAGGGGTAATCAACCAATTATCGGCCATTAAAGGAACGTAATCTATCTAATCGAAATCAGGAAGGTCCACGCTGTAGGCCCAATCGGGCAAGCGGTAATCTATATCAAAAACCTTCCTCAGCAGATCTCTCGACATTACCTGGGTAATGGGCGACGTATTCATCTGGTCCAGCGTGGAACCGTGCATCGGCATCGTCTGCGCCTGTCTTCCAACCTTGCAGCCTCTTCTCAAATCAACTCTCAAGCGCATTCTCGGGTCTTCTCGGGTAGCAGGCAAATTTGGCGCGAGTTCGTCTCAAGAGGTTGAGCTCCAAGGTAAAGCACGAATTCAGCGTGTCTCAGGCGGCCATGATAAACGTCGTCTCTTACGCTCCCTTGACGATAGCCAGCACGGAAACAATGATGAACGTTTGATTCTCCGGCCAAAGGAGGATGAAGCAATTTTGACGACGAACTCGGAGCCAGCCGAGGGGACCAAATTTGCGGGAGGCAAATGCAGCGACATTGAAAGGAATGAAAGGAATTCCATGTCGATCCGAGTGCATCGGGACTTTCAGTGGCAAGAAGAGCATGCTGGCCGATGAGCAAGACTTCAGCAGCAAACCAATGTTGTTGCCTCCGCCATATGAGAAATCCACCTCCTCTACCTTAACATCAAATCCTATCACGGCGCCAGTATTAGAGTCAAGAACAAGACATGGACAGGATGCTTTCTCTTTTCGTCTACCTGCGGAAATTCTCTGCATCATCCTCAAACCCGCCTTCACCTCCATTTCCAACTAAGGGACATTTGCATTCTACGCGGTTCCTGGGCGCCTTCTATTGCGTGGTGTTGTGCGGCATCAGCCTGAGAAGGAAAGAGCAGCGAGAGGGGGTTTTCTATATCCAGGATCAGGCCATCGATTTCGTCCCAGGTGACGAGGGAAAGGCGGACGTAAAAGCGTCGGCTAGATGACGCTGGAGGATTGGATGTTGGAGGAGATAAGTACTTCCCTGCGGGGATCGAGACGCAAGCCCTAAAGGCTTATGCCGGCGGATATGTTAGCTGGGTTTGTAGAGAGCTATCTTCGACCTTCGTTAGAGACTTTGAAGAAGAGTTAGTAGTACGTTGAGATGCTGGTGGTGGCGTTGGGACGATTCAGAGCATTGTCAATGCAAACTTGATGAAAGGGTGAAGATATGATCGAGGCGTGGTACAGGTTGGGTGTCCTGGCAGTGAGCGGAAGATTAAAACAACAGTGATGAGACAAGCTGCAGGCTTCCCTGTGGGAGCAATCTATGCGATACTCTTCCCATTCCCATCAAGTGACGGATCTGAAAAGAACCTCTTAGCTGATGAGGTGAAAGCAAGTTGGATATGATACGAACAATCTATTAAGCGGAGCCCCCATGTACCATCTCTGTCTATACTTACTACACAGCTGCAGACCACTAGACAGGCTTCTTCCTCGAGGTCACCTTCATTCTTGTAGATACTGCCCAAAGTGTTGATCTTCTATTTTATCCTGTGCCTATCAGCTTAATCAAAACTTCCTTCGTCTTTATAGCATCCAGAAGCAAATATCAAAGCGACCCAACATCAGGATGGAGGAGGGAACTCATATTATCGACCCCGACGGCGAGGTGGTCATCATCGTGCATAATCCCAATGCACCTTTCGCCTTTTGGAATGACGAGAATGATCAAGCTGAAGAGCCTGCTGATTCCCGTGAGTCATTAAGTATTACCTATTCGTCATATATTGACTAACAGTCTGCAGAGAAGTCAGACGAGATAGCTGATGGGCCCATGCTGTTGTCTGATAGCGACTCCGATGCTTCGAATGACGAGCCAGCCAATGGGCCTGTCGAAAAGGTGGCCGGTATACCGTCTGAAGCCGATGTCTATATTCAAGTGTCCGCGAAGCACTTGATGCTGGCCTCTCCCGTGTTCAAGAAAGCCCTGACTGGCAAATGGAAAGAAGGTTCAACCTTTATTGGTACTGGATCAGTCGAGATTACCACTGAGGGCTGGGATGTTGAGGCTTTCTTGATTCTCCTTCGAATTCTTCATTGCCAGCACCACAAACTCCCAAAGAGGGTGAGCCTCGAGCTCGCTGCTAAGATCGCTGTTCTCGCAGACTATTATGAATGCAACGATCTCGTGGGGTTCATCCGTGATGCGTGGATTAATTGTCTGCGGGAAGAGCTTCCGGAGATGTATTCACGGAACTTGATCTTGTGGCTATGGATCTCTTGGTACTTCAATATGCCCATGAAGTTCAAGAAAGCGACCTCGATTGCCATGTCGCAGAGCAAGGATGAGATCAATGCACTGGATTTGCCGATTCCAGCGCGCATCATATGTAAGTCTGTACAAATCCTCTCAATAAGTAAGATCACTGACCAATAATTCAGACGAGATGAACCAGAAAAGGCAACAGGCTATATGCAAGATCATTCTTCAACTTCAGCAAGAACGTGAAGCGTTCATGACAGGATCTAAAGGTTGCAACTTTGAGTGTAGGTCCATCATGCTTGGTTCTCTCATGGGGCAAATGCACAAAAAGGGTCTACTTGAGTCAGAGGTCAAATTCTACTACAAGGGTTGCAATGTCAAAGACTTGACCAAATCTGTCCAGTCATTTGTTGCCCCGAAGTGGAGGGCTTCAATCTACAGCCACGAGCCAGGGTATGCCGATCACAAATGCCCCCACAGTTCGTTTTCTCTATTGGAGAGTTCACGCGATACGGTGGAAGGTCTCAAACTGAAACAATTTCTTGTCAATTGATTTTAGGCGATCGTTGTTCATACACCCATAGCTATCGTTTAATTCCAAGTCAATACACACGTATGAATAGACACATCATCATAGGTGGCATTGATACAAAATAGAAATGCAAATTTCGGACAGGAGACGGCTCTAGCTTACTCAAACCTGCCTCTGTCGCAATGATGCAGCACACATCGCAGTCTCGTGGCTAATAGCATCATTGACCAGTCTAACTCCCCGTTAACACACGCAATGCACTCACACATCTCCTCATTTGCTTGCGAACCAGCTCAGTGGTCAAGTGATCATCCGTAGCCTCCATAATCAATTCCATCTGTTTTATCTCATCGACCTTGATATCCCCTAATCCATCAGGGACATTGAACCTGTACAACCGACCCGCATCATCCAGCTCCGTATGCGTCTGGAGGAACACATTCGCCACCTTTTCGGGATCATGAACATCAAGCTGCGACAGCATACGCTCGAGCCCCATCACCTCATGCATACCCTTGCCCTTGATGGAAGCGCTGCCCGCGCCAATGGACACAATGCAGCCCAGTTGACTTGCCAGTACCCCCGGCCATAAGCCATTTGCCTCGGCCCACACCTGACGCACGGGATTGATTATATTCCGACTGCTATCGCAGTACTTCTTTTTGTCAGGGCCCATGGTGATAGGTTCGTAGCCAGCAAGGGACGCTAGACAAGCTTGTCCTGCTTCAACCATTGTCGCAGTCATTGATAGCTCAGACGGACAGTGTTTGCTTTCGTAAGAGGTCAGGGGGAAGCTTTTCTGGGTCTTCCAATCGGTGAGGTAGATAACACTGATATGAGTCAGACAGATCACGCAATACTAGTATGATGGACATACACTCTGCACGAGGGCTCTGACTCTCTGAATAACGTATTCTCCTCATAACCCGATTGCGCGACGATGCTTCTGAGCGTCGATGCGCATATCTTGGGATCGAACTTGGGATGGCCCAAGTGCAATGATCTCTGGGATTCGGACTTGCCATGGCGCAAGTGCAGTGACCTCTGCGTGAAAGAGCACTGCAATAAATGCTCATATGCACTGATGCATTGGTCCACGTCCATTCTGAGACGACCAAGCATAATAGCGATTAACCTAGTCCTGTTAGTGTGATGGGCACAAATTGTTTAATAGCATAGATACCCTCCTGATCCAACTCCGCCGATGATATCAAAGACTTCGCATGGTTTTGGTGGACGCTGCTGATCGATTGCTTCCATCATATTCTTGAGCACATAAAGGGAGGAGAGGCCGCGGATGCCTCCGCCGTCCAGGGACAGGAGATTCAATTTCTTCTCTTCCAGTTGCATTGTGCAAGAATTGTTGCTATCTAACTTGACTTCAAGAATTATATTCGAGTACCTCCTGTTCTTTACCTCCCTATATGTTGTTCTACGTGCTTATGTATCTGGTAATAGAGGGATTGCTATTCTTAAGACATCTCAAGCGCCGATCTACACTAAATTTGGTTCAGCAAAGATGGATTATTCAATGAAATGCTTGGGAAGGGTCTGCTCTTGGCTTGAGCCTATCGTATTTGATCAAAGCAAGAGCTGGATGCTGACCACGTCAACAGCTAAACGCCGCAGATGACGGCGCTTACTGGAGTGCAGAATGTTTCAACTGAGCTGGCGGGTATGTTCCCGGTACTCATGTTCTATGCAGGAATCTTGCTGAATCTGTCTTCTTGTTGGTTCATGGTATATTATCGAGGGTATTGTATCATGTATGCCCATGAGATGAGACCTGCACATTTTAGAGAGCGAGAATATCCCAGCGCTTACCGACACAACCCATTATTAGTCTTTCGACACTCACTTTTCTACTAGTAATTCTTTCCAAATTTCCTTAGGGCTTTGACTAATCAAGTCTCTCGTTTAAGCCCGGTAGGGACAGTTTATTAGAATAGAGCCGTTGTGGCATCTGGACTGCCAACACAAAAGAGGTCTGTTCGATTGTCTCGCCACGGCGCTACATCATAAAATCTTCTACGACGTGGTCCTTTGCTTCTCACTGGATAGATTATATCATCCTCGGTTATTACCTAAGTCATAGAGAAACAACTGACGTTGTAGCCCACTCTACATCATATTTGACATGTTCCTTCAATCTATCTGTTGCTTCGTAAAATGCCCCAACGAAGGAGATGTGGCACTGTTCGCCTTCCTGATTGACGCTGATCCATTCTATCAATCACCGAGGATTGAAAACATTGAATCCTGTCATACTCCAGAGACATAAGCATCATGGAAGAGTATATCCCCCATCAATCACAATATTAGCCCCTGTCATATAGCTCGACGCATCCGAGGCACAAAACACATACGCCTGTGGCCAAATCAGCACTGCTGCACTTCATCCGGAGAAACTTCAAAAAACTCACCCCTTTGAGCTCGTATGTATCCGCAAACCGCTGCGCAGGAACCATACCGTACCACTTCTCCCTCCACTCCTTGGGATGAATATCGAGGATATCAGTCTCGATGAATCCAGGCGAGATGCAATTCACCCGGCAGAAATCCACCCATTCGACAGAAAGACATTTGGCCAGCTGCACCACCCCCGCTTTCGAGGCATTATACTACTCCCGTCAGCACTCTCAACTGCAGCTATGCAGGACAAGAACATACTGCAGCTTGCTTTTGCGGAACATTCACCAGCGTCGCGCTCACAGAGGCCGTGAAGATGACGTTGCCGCGTCCCTGGGCTTTGAAGATGTGCGAGGCAGCCTGCGCGGTGTAGAACGCGCCGTCTAGGTTCACCTGCATGATCTCCTTCCATTGCTCGGCCGTGTAGTCCTCCGCCGCGACGTTCGAGGTAATCCCCGAGTTGACGACGACGATATCGAGTCCTCCAAACTCAGAGGCAATTTGCTGGATGGTCCTCTCAATTTCGGCCTTGTTGCTGACGTTCGCTTGGTAAGCTGCGGCCTTGACGTTGTTCGCAGAGGCGATTTCCGCGGCGGTTGTGTCGGCCGTTTTGGACGAGTTGTAGATCAAGGCGACCTGATTATAAGTTTTACTCATCATACGCACGGATGAGGATGAGAATAAGACATACATTGGCACCTGCTTCTGCCAGAGCACGAGAAACTTCCAGTCCGATGCCACGAGCGCCGCCTGTCTGATCAGCTTTGTAGCCGTGCATACATTGGCAACTTACCAGTTATAGCGGCCACTTTGCCCGTGAGGTCAAAGGCCTTGAGGACATGTTTGTTTTCTGGTTTCGCGAGGACCATCTTGAATCTGCTTGAATCAGAAGAGATACTCTTGGATGCACGATGAAGATATCCTCCCTGCGAATACGTTGACCCCGCATCGGAGGCTCTCCGACGGTAAACCAGGAAACGATCAGCTCTTATCAACAGTGGTGGTAAATTCGGAGACTTTAGTAAAGACTTCTATACAGAGGTCCTCTATTCACAGTAGCCAATTATCGCGATCATACTCGATGGAATCCGCGGCAGACATCAGCCTCGAACTCATGTCTTCACTGATCTCAGAATATGCACATGTCTCCCAATTCTGAGGAAATCAGTCATTTCAAGCACTCAACCAGACTTGAAGAATGCATCTCAAGCTCTCGTCTCGTAGACCTCCCGCGAAACAAGACGACCGCGCCGGTCCCAAAAGGCCCCGGAGCGGAGTGTATGTAGGTGAATCCAGAACGGAGTATGATAGCACAGTATCTCATACAGAAATTGAGAAGAGCTTAGTCCGTACTGAGCAATCACAATCAGATACTCTAGTCTATAGTGTGCGCAGTTTAGAGTATAAATATCCCTAAACCCAAAATAGTCGACTTATATGCCCATAACATCACGATCATGAATCATGACCATCCTGAGCCGAGGAACTCGGCCTTGGCGTCATCATCATTCCTTTCATCTCAACACCATATCACATCTCCCATCTTCCACATCACCTCACCACATCAATCACCACGCAAAAGGAAGAAAACAGCACAGCCAAAATGTCCCTGTCAACCCCGCTCAAAGCCACCTCCATCGGCTGGCTCCTCGTCTCCGTAGGCCATACTGTAAGACTCTCCCCCTTCCCATCTCATCTGCATCTGCAGAGTCCATACATACATTCATACATACTAAGTGCCTCAGATCTCAGCACGGGACTGGCAATCCCTCCCTCAATTCCGCAAACTGCCTAATCTAGCCTATACCTGTGCCAAGGCAGGCTGGTATCAGGGTAGTGCTTTTTTTCTCATGACTGGTTTGTCCCCTCCCTTTGGCAAACAAAAAGATGCTGGAGCTGAGACTACTGCAGCAATGACCAATTACAACTGGGCGCAGAATCCGGCGCTGTTGGCGGAGCCGATCAACAAGGGGATTGCGGCGTTGATGACGGCGATTGTGTGGGTGAGTGCCGGGTGGTATTTCAAGAAGGGGGTCAAGACGAATGGGGTGGTTGTTGCGGCTATGGGGGCGTTGCAGGCTTGGGCTGCTTTTCGGTAGCTAATAGTTACTTTTCTGAATGATTTGAAAGTGATATATGTATCAATTTAGCACAATCTGAGATATATACAAGGTATCATATACTTGAAAGATGAAAAACCAAACGCCTATCCAACATGCCAGACACCAATGCAACAGGCCGAAAATCACCTGGCGGCTTCCGCGTACGAATCGTTGGAAGATACGGCTCGACGCCCCCAGCCGCTGAAGAATCCTCCTCCACTATTGACTGGCTCCGTGGCTGATTTAGCAAGATTCGTCGAGGACCGGCCAATAAAGGAATTGCGCGAGTCGCTTCGTGACAATGATCCTTGCCCTCCGATCATCTTCCTTAACGAGTCCAGCTTCGCCTTGACTTCTTCGAGCTCCTGTTTGGCCACCGCCTCGGCCGTTTTGGCGTTCACCAGCTCCAGCAGCAGCGTCTCCTCCGCTGCGGGTTTGTGGTTCTCCGTCGCCAGGACCGACTGCAGTCCGAGGCTGCTCGATCTCTTGTTGAACGTCGTGCTCTTCTGCGAATTCGACCGCCCCAGCTTGAGCTCGCGGAGCCCGCTGGGCGAACGGCTCTCTCCCGAGTCACTGGTCGGCGAGCCAAATGTCTCTGGTGGCGAGTCGGGCGTCGACGTCTTGATGTTCCGCAGCTCCCGGATGGTTCTCTCCAGGCGTTGGCGATCTCGGTAACCATCCTGGATGCGACTGCGAGCCTCGCGCAACTGTTCTCTCAGCGACGAGTTCTCTTGTTCATGTTCGTCAATGCGACGCGTTAGATCGAGACACCGGCCCGCTTCGACCTCGTGCATCTCCTTCCACCGGTTGAGATCCTCACGGAGTTGCTGCTTCGTCTGGGGAATCGAAACGCGCTTAGCGCTGGCCGAGTCCACGAATCTCTCTTCCGCTTTGCTAATCAGCTCAGCAGGCGGATCATCCGCCTCCATCTCCTTGATGTAGTTCAGCATGGACTTCGCCAGTTCCTGGTCCTCCTCCCGTTCCTCGCGCTCCTGCTGCAGCTCCCGTGTAAGATCCGCATGCTGCCGCTGGAGATCGCTTAGCGCCATCAGCAGATCCTCGATCTGTGAGTGCAAATCACGGTCTTTGTTGTGCGACATGGCCGACTTGGCCCGTGGCTTGGGTGGTTCCGCTGAGAGCTCCGTCGGCGCTGTACTGGCATCGGAGGTTGATTCTATCGAATTGAGCGTGGAGGTCATGCTCTGTTTGGAGGCGGACCGGCGGACACTGGCGCGAGCTGACATATTGCCGTTGTTGGGGTTGAGATTGAAGGACTTCGTCTGAGAGCCGGATCCCGCCCAGAATCGGCCCAGGAATCTCGACGCCGCAGCCTGCATCTGAGGGAAAGTGATGCCGGTTGGCACCCCTTGCGATTGATTGTAGCTTGCCTCCAATGCCTGCAAACTTTCCTTGGTGACCAGCGATGTCAGGGAGACAAAATCATTGACGAAATCATCGGCATGGCAAGCGTATCTGCGAAAATCAGTCAGGTCATGCATGAATTTCAAAGCTCGTGCAGACTCACGTATCCCACAAGCTCCTCGACAGCAAGAATTGCATGACGTCCTCGAACTCGGTATAGGCCATGATCTTCTTCTCGTTCCTCTGCATCAGCGACAAGGCGACCCGCATCAACGTCTCGCACGCCCCTTCCAAGAAAATGACATCGTAAATTCGAAGAAGCATGGGAAGAGGACAAGATACTGCGAAAAAAGACAGGAACCATTGAGACACATAGATCGGCTCCACATTTAAGGATTCCAGGTGAGCGAACAAAGCAGGACGGTGGCGGGCAAGGAGGTTCTGGAACTGATAGACGCGCAAATGGAGACCCGATAG